CCCCAAAACCCCAAAACCCCAAAACCCCAAAACCCCAAAACCCCAAACTGAGATCCTCGATTGAAATTTTGACAATTAATAGTTCTAAACTTAGATTAATGAAGCCAAAACTATAATAAAGTTACATAATTTAGCAGTTCATTGCTTTGGATTGATTGGAACAATGGCCATGAGAGTTAAACGAGCATCAATAACAACTTCCAGCTTTGCATCACAGTGCAAGCCTGGCTTTGATGCTAGTTATTAGGCCATTTCCAAAGTTTGTAAAAATTAAGAGGATTTATTATGCTGACATATGGAATTGACACTTTGGCCAAGTTGAAATTTTTACTAAAATAATTCTATCTCCTTCCATTCCAAAGCTTAAAAAATGCAATTGAAGGCTGATGGTTTCAATAATTATTTACTTTAGCAGGCACAAGTTAAATATTTGCCTTCTCAAAGTTTTGACAATTATTATGGATAGAAAGCACAAGCTGGTGGTCACTATCAATTCAAAAACTGGGAAACATATTTCTAAAAGGAAATTTTAATTGCTGCTTTTTGGCTATCTTAAAGGACTTAACTGGGCAAGTTATGAAAATAAAAGTTTAATCTGATAAACTGATTCTAGTCCCAAAAAATATTGAGGATAAGCTTGCTATTTCATCGCTTTAATTCTAAACACAAAAATTTGGGACATATCATGATTAGTCTTAATTTAATATTAAATACTATGTGCTCGTATTTAGACAATAACTAAAGGAATTATTAAAGAAAACTAGTGGTAAAGGAATACTTGGCATTCAAAAACCATACAATTAAGGCTCCTTTAATTAATCATAGTACTAACCTAATCCTTCTGAACAAATGGATCTATCAATTTCAAACATTCAAATTATCACCTCCTCTTTCCAACATGCCGAGGAATGGTAAATTATGAATCGTTGAATTGATTTACTCTATATTATAATCCCTATTTCTTTTTGCATCTTTTCTTCAGGCATTAATAAGTCTGTTAATAGAATAATCTTGCTAATTGCTCCATTTCTAATAGGTTTACTTATTTTATGAATATGTCTGCATGCTTTAATAAAAAAAACAGAATAGTGAACACCTGGGATTACTATAATTAATAAACTCCTTTTTAAAGTTTACCTTGCCCTTAACTTAATTTGGGAAATTTCAGTTATAAAATCCAAGAGTGGATCATGAACTGATCAATTTATTTGAAGATACTTTTTAATTTCGTCATATAAAGGAGCATAAACTTTTGAGAAGAAGCATCACTAATGAACATTAAGACAATAAATCATATCCCTTGGATAAGGCCTGGTTCAGAAATTTTAAGGTTAAAAATATTGCCTTCATGGAAATCTATGTTTATGGATTTTAGTAGATTATTAGAATTCTTCTCTTTGAACTCAAGAATGGGAAATTTGCTATTAATTGTTAATTAAGACCTCTTGAGCTGTAAGAAATCAAAATATTTAGAGAAGTGTTCCAATTTATCTTTCAAACACAAGGGAAAATATTGATTTCTTAGCATAATCGTTATTAAATGCTCTTTCCATTTTAACTTCTTGTTCTAAACTGACAGTAAACCTGAGAAAATTTGAAGTGTTATTTTTAGAAAATTGTCTGAGAAAGCTGATCCAAAGCAAATAATTATAAGCTGCTAGATACCTGATCGATATGAATATTTTTCCTCTCTTTATCAATTTAAGACTGCAATTGTTACATGGAAAACTAGACTTCTTTTAAACTTAAGCTTCTAATATCTATTTGAAGAGTCATCTACATTAGAGACTCTTCGTTCCCAGAGAAAGAAGAGAGATCCTTATTTCCTTGATCGGAGACCTTTAAGCATGTAGTTTTGTATAGTAAATGAAATTATTATCTGAGCTTGCAACCCCTATTTCACAACAAATATATGCTTCTACAAAATGCAGTTTATTAGAGTTTAGAAATTTCAGAAGGCTTAATAATGTTTCTTGCAACTAGCATTTGGAGCCAAACCTAAAGCTCTGATGACTTCAACATGGTTAAAAATATGCTCAGAGGCCTCCTATAAGATTTTAACTTTAGCATGCTCTTGGAGAATAAAAGTAGTGGGAATATATATCAGTATTTATTTTGTTTGCCCATTTAATGCCTTAAAGAGCGAAGTAACAAAACACTCTGATTTAATGGCATGAACTTGTTCAGAAAGGAAAGAAAGAAAGAAAAAGATTGCATTGGAAAATTTAAGAATTATTATTAAATTCTTTGAGAAGTCTCTGAGACTTTAAACTGCTTTCAGTTCTGATAGATGTCTGTAAGGCTGTTTTCGACCAAGGGAGAAGCTTTCTGATATAATGACCCCGATAAAACTCTTTTTAACTTCTCAACATCTGAGTGGAATTGGTGAGGCCAAGTCCATCCTTGATGAAGGCTTGACACACAAGAAAGAGGAGTGTCTCTGAGTTTCATATAGGACACAATAATATGCCTGAAATATTTCGATTTGATGAGGAGTTTGAAATTCCATCTATTATATTTATGAGTGCATTCAAATGCTTTCAAGCCATCTTGAGCAGCCTCTGATTCCAAATGACAGATATCAGAGGAGTGTATGTTCAAAAACTTAAACAAGAACTCTCCCATTTCTTTCGAAGGGGTTTCAGGCATATAAACCAATGCTAATAGCTTTAGAGCATCTAATGTTTTAGATGATCAAACATTAGTGAGTCTTTTGTTTTTAAGTTTATCGTTATGATAAAGAAAAAGTTGATTGAACAACTTCTTTACAAGTCTTAATACCTTCCTATTTTCAATATCTGGCCTTGATGATCTCTTTACAGCAACGAGAGTTTCCTTGTTTTTAACAGTATTGGAGATTGCTTTACTCTGAGAACATTCAGATAATTTCTCAAGTTTTATTTCTAAGTTTGAACTTTGCTCCAACAAGGTAGGGTGATAAAGCTCCTGTGAGAATATACCGGAACTCAATTCACAGTCTTTGACAACTTTCTCAATTTTCTGGGTTTGAAGAGATACTTCAAATTGCTCGTCGATTTGTTTAAGGAAACTAAGCAATTCTTCATCTGGAATCGAGACAAGCTCTTCCTAAATAACAAAATTAGGTATTTTAATCAAAAACCATTAAAAAGTCTCAACTTTTCTTAAGGAAATAAGGTGTCATAAGGCTAGTGGCTTCCATAAAGATTCTTCTAAAACTCTGTATTTCTAGAGCATTAAATAAAAACATAAGGTATTAAACTGATGATTTGTTCAACCCTTATCAACCCCAATCATGCAACACAACACTGTGAGGTCTACCCTGTCCCAAGGTTAAATAGCTTACCTGGTCCAGACTTAGGGTGCTGCTTAGAAATATTGGGTCTTCTGGATTCATGCTACAGCTATCCATTATTTGTCCTAAAACTTTATAACCCAATATTGTTATTCTTATTTGGGGTTTTGGGGTTTTGGGGTTTTGGGG